TTTTTTTTTTTTAAAGAAGCATGTTTGAAGTTTCTGCAGGAAGATGTGGACTTCATCTGTCCCTGACTGGAAACCATATTTACCTTTAATTCCAAAACATTTTCTAAAATAAAGGCAGATAAACTTAGAAACATAATTTGGTTTATTTTTCCAGTTTGTCTCTATGTGTGGAAGGAAAGTGGAGTGTTTTCATGTATATCAAAACACTCTCTGTATACCAGTTTAAATATTATTTATTATTTTAGTCTTCTCGTCTTCATCAGTATAAAATTATTTCTAGTATATTAGTTAATTCTTCTTCTACTTTGGAAAGAGAGGCAATTAGTATGTCTCTTTCTTCCAAAAGAAAGTGTAGGACAGCATTAGTCTGCATTTTTTAAGATGGTGTACTCTAAATTTTAAACATAGGTGTCACTGAAGTCATCTTTAGTATTTCATAAGTGTACTTGAGGACAGAACTAGATACTATTGTCACTGTCTCATTAAACCAAGGCAATGAGATGGATCCATTTGTTTAACTAGTCCATTTCATTTTGCAGACTGACAATCCATTCCACTGTAATTCTGCCACTGATCTACTTAATAATAGTACGGAAAAATCCTTTTCGGTTTGCCATGGGGATGGCTCAGGCACTCCTTACAGCCCTCATGATTTCTTCCAGGTAAACAAAAGAAACATTTTTTTTCTGTAATGTTCTTGGTAGCAATTGTTGTGCTCTGATCTTATTTCTACATATTTGCACACCCTGATTTCACCTGGACAATTCTATATCCCCTGGAGATTGAAATACTGCTCTCATCATTATTTCTGTAGTACCCAAAGGGCCATTATAGATTGTGCTGACCTTACACCAGGTAAGAGTTTGCCCCTACTGGGAGGAGACAGTTCTTTGCCATTCAGTTCATTAGTCACACACTTGCTAGAGTTTAAGCTGTTGCACTGTTTCTGTGACTACATGTATCATGACAATTTTACCATTTAATTTTGAGGATAACTAAGACTTTGTTATTCTTTCCATAATCAGAAGAGATAACAAAAGTTACTTTGCTTTAAAAGCCAATTCTCACTTTCGTGGTGAAGCCTTTCTGCCTGCCTTAGATCTCCATTTGAATCTTAGAGCAGATCAGTCTCTGAGGAAAAGGAAGGATAAAGGAAATGGTACGCTGTTGCCTGTGCTTACTTTGTGTGTTTATCTATGTGCCAGTTCAGCAACTTTGCCTGTCACTTTCCGCTGTGCAGAAGAAAAAAACTTAATCGACAAAAGAATTACCAGGTTCGTTCTTCCTGTTGGAGCTACCATCAACATGGACGGCACAGCTCTTTATGAAGCAGTAGCAGCTGTATTTATTGCACAACTGAATGACTTAGAACTGGATATTGGCCAAATAGTTACCATTAGGTAAGACTAAAGCCATGACACACATTTTTCTGGAGGTGGTTTTTTTAATGAATGTTACATTAACTTTGGATACACCATGGGAAAGCTGAAACTATCATTTGCAGCACAGGAAGTAACAGAAACATTGTCACTTCTTGGTCTGAGGCCTTGCCTATGCAACCTCTTGAGCAGATGGGATGGGCCAGAACAGGCAGCTGGTGTACAGTGTTGTTTTCGAAGTTGCCATTATTCTTCCACTGCAAACACTTGCAGACCCAACTTGGCCTCTAGTCCAGTTTCCTTGTTAGTCATGCATTGCCTGTTATTCTGCGGTGTAACTGTAACAGTATCTGTACATGGCTTGTCCCATAAACTTATCATCAGACTTTGAGCAGATACTATTCAAGAGGAAAGCTGGAACATCGGGGCTTTTCTCTTGCAGTGAAATAAGCCTGTTTGTGACAGAAAATAGCATTTCTGTGAGCAACATGTATTCTGAATGCCTTTTCTGGGCTTTATTTGGGATTTAGTGTCACAGCTACAGCAGCCAGCATCGGGGCTGCAGGTGTCCCTCAAGCCGGACTTGTCACCATGGTGATTGTACTGAGCGCCGTTGGCCTGCCTGCTGATGATGTTACTCTGATCATTGCAGTTGACTGGCTTCTGTAAGTTTAAGGCACTTGATATTTAATTCTTTTTCCTTTTTTTTTAATGTTACATAAGTTGTGTGGGAACATGTCTGAGAAAGAAAGCAACAAAGTCATTTAGGGCTGTTGCAGGAATTGGAGAAGGGTTTTTCTTATGGCCAGGCTTGTTCAATATCAAGTTGGATACACTAGTGGCTTTAATTCTGAGAGAAGCCCTACTGCATGGGATGGCAGTGAATAACCTCACATCCAGAGGTGCTATCAACCTTCAAATAGTGACCACAGCATTAATGAATCATGAGCATAGTACTCAGGAAAGACAAATTTGACAGTACCAAGAAGTGGCTCTGGAATGTCTGCTGACACCATATTATGCTAAATTCATACACTATTCACAAAAATCAAATGCAGCCACAAGCAGAACTTCTCAGCTGATTTCCACAAAGCACATAAAATCCATACACTGGTGAAGAGGTAGTGGAGCAGAACATGCACTAACCCAGGCTCGTCCTGGACTCCACATGCACACGCATGGTGGGCTGTACGTGGGTCTGTGCTGTCAGCATTACTTTGATAGGGCTGTTCTTCACTGAGAATTTTCTGAAGACCCAACCCCTTGATCAACAAGCACACACATGCAAACTCAGGAAGCATTCCTTATGCCTGATTCCAACCATCTCGCCTCAGAGCACATCAAAGCCCCTCAGTTCCATTAAGCAGCTATTTCTGGAGGGAAGCATTTTCACGAGAAATCTTTTCTGTTTAACTTACAATGAGATGCTTCTCTGCTACTCTTGCAAAAGCCAAAAGAATCACAGAGTGTGTTCTGGAGTTTAGAAGCACATCAGCATTCAGTTTTGTTCCTGATTCACTGGGAAAGAATAATAAAATTCACAATAAATATAACTTTAGTTTGTGATGAAGCTTTTTTGCCTCATAAACTGTGTGAATTTTAGTGCTTAGGCCAAGGGCTTGTTCACTTGCAGTAACTCAATATGTATGATATTTCACTGATATCAATGCAGAGATCTCAATTATTTCATAGTCTCTGCATATCTTCTTCTTAGGTTCATATTTACACTCAAGGTAAATGCATTCCCGTTGCTCCCACCCACTTTCCAATAATTTTGTTGAAGGATTTCTGGCAGCAACCTATGTATTTGACATATAGATATAATTTATTTGATTATAAAACTCAGTTTTGCAAGCTGTCAAGAGAAGTTACACTCCGTAAAACTAGGGGTGTTGAATGGATCCAAGAATCAATTCAGTTTCTGTATAAACGTAATTGCTCTAAACGAAACAGCTCCAGCTACAAGTACATTCTCCCTATCAGCTATCTGCAACAGAGTCTAATAGGTTTGTTTGCTGTGCTCCACAATCACTTCATTTTCTCCAGGTCTCTTCTTTTCACAGTGGGCATTTAGTTTTGTAATGGATGGTGAAGATCTGTACAAACCACTGGCTCAGAGCAGGTATCTAAAGAAGAGTGTAAGAACAGAGCAAATGTATATTGGTTCTTTTCCCAAAGTACTCTCCTAGCCTCCTGCATATTGCAGCTCACAGAGTACCTGAGCTAGAGGTGGTTCTTGATTTAACAGTTGTCAACAGTTTTCTTCTTCTTCCATGAATGCCTCATTGCTTTTTGGACCCATATAAACTTTTAGAATTCCGTAAGTCCTGTGGAGAGGATTCCACAACCTAACAATGTGTTGCAGAGAGACATATTTAATTTTCTTTGTTTTAATCTATGTCTTAATAATTTTATTTTATGCCCTCCCTTTTATGGGAGTGAGAGAAAGAGAGAGGACAGTAATTCCCTATTTCTCATAGTAATCGTAACTTTATGGATCTGATCTCATCTCCACTTTGAAAGTCCACGATTTGTGATTTGTAGGCACAGTACAAATACATGGAAGCTACCTGTTCCACCAAGAAACAGACAACAAATTCAAGCTGTTTCTGATTCTAATGGAAATATTTTTCAGGTTAAGGGACTTGCTGTGTAAAGCAAATTAAAGATTAATTTCACATACCAGGGATCATTGCCAGTGTATTTTGCACCTCAGCAGATGGAATACACATCATGATACCACATAGATTATTAACATTTTCACCTTTGCTACTTATTGCTTAAAATGTATTATTTTACAGCCTGCTAGTAGTGGCTCATTAACAGTCGTTTAGTTAATTCTGAACTTAACAAGGTTTTATTACATAGGCTTAAGGAGCATTTCCATGTTTTTAATGAAGATAGAAAAATTTTGAGAAGTATTATGAAGGAACAGTTTCCAGCGCTGTTGATTTCCTCACTTGCCACACTGATCCTACTAGAATTTTACTGTACTCCTTTTCTCACCATGTATTTCCTTTCCACATGGAGAACTCATGGGCACGTTCTAGCACTGGAGTTCAGCAATTGTACTAGAAGAATACGTATATGAGACATACTGATTCACATCACTATAGTTTCTGCAATCCCTTCTGTTTGTGAATCCACCTCAACATCTCTGAACAGACAAAGCAGTTCATTCTGCCACAAAGCCCTTGCAGTGCTGTGTATATGCAAAGAAAAACAGGGAAGCATGACCTTTCACTGTCCCTACCTTACTTCCATGCCAATTTTCAAACTTTGCTATATTGCATGGGTTTGTTACTTCTCTGACAAGTAGTGGCAAATTTTTAAAGCCTGCAAGTCACATTTCTGTTGGGAGAAAAATCAGCAGTACAGAAGTATCCTGTTCCTTTAAGTGACTTGTTTAGTACAACTTTGTACTTCAGCCCTTTGGCAACGAGAAGCTAACAGAAGATAGCCTTTTCCATTTCCAGGGTCTGGGCCAGAATACTGAAGATACTGGGCTAGGCACTCCTCTGGCTGAGGGAGTGACTGTTAGAAAGACAAAAGGTGTGATGCAAACTTTTCTGCTGCACCCTACAGTCTCCTGCCAACAAAAGCAGTCTCATCACAAAGAGAGCCAGCTGTGTAGCATACTTCAGGGCCTGAGAAGTGAACCCTACAACACTTCATAAGGCTGTGCACAGCAGTGTGATTACTGCTCTAACAGACTAGTCATGTGACTTGCAGTTCTGCACACCCTGTACAAAGTAATTTGTCATGGAAGCGATGCCACATTTTTTCAAATACATGTGGGGAAAATGCTGTTTCTTGTTCTACAAGATTTTTTTCTGTTAATTGCAGAATTACCCCAAATCTGCACTGGGAATAAAACAACTCTGCATTTGCTGGAGTAGCTTACTTTTACTAAAAGGATTTTCTAAGTAACATACAGAATGATTGTCTGACAACATTTTTATTCCACAGGGATCGATTCAGAACAATGGTGAATGTCTTGGGAGATGCCTTTGGTACAGGGATAGTGGAGAAGCTCTCTAAAAATGAGCTGGAACAGATGGATGTCGCCTCTAAAGTTAACATAATCAATCCTTTTGCCCTGGAAACAACAATTCTTGATAATGATGAAACAGAGACCAAGACCTCGTATGTCAACGGAGGCTTTGCTGTAGATAAGTCTGACACCATATCCTTCACACAGACGTCTCAGTTCTAAAGCCAGTAGCTTTCAGGTGAAACAGGAGTGCTAAAGGAGATGGCCATATGCAATATCTCAAAAAGCTTAGAGGATAATTGAGAATGAATTACATCTCACATGCATTTGATCTACTACTCAGACTCTGATTCTCCTTACCAGTTCTTCCCCCTTCTCATCATCTCTCCCAACAATTTGATCTCACCACCTTTAGTCCTTGCTGATAGGTTGAAGAAAAAGACAGTTGTAAAATACTTTTTTAATACATATATA